TTCTGACGTGTTTATTCTTTGGAAGCTTAAACCACTTTGATTTATCTTTATCCAAGAAATACCTGTTACCAGCATCATTTTCTGAGTCATCTGAAACTTCACCTCCTCCTTCAGATTTCTCTTCTTCTTCAGAATCTTCTTCTATGTGTTCTGATTCTTGTTTAGCTATTTCTCTTGTCACTCTGTCTTCCTCTAATATTGCTGGCTCTTCTTCAGATTCAGAATCAATAAAGGATCCCTCCCCTTCAGAAATTCCGCCAAACTCTTCCCACAAACGTTTGAGACTCCGCTGCTCTTCTTCGTAAGACATACTTAATGTGCAACTAAAAATATATCAAAATAATTCTTAGGTTATTTGTAAAACCCAAAAAAATATGTAGTTTACCTTTAGAACTGTTCAGAAAATAAAAACACAAAAAGTTACGTCAGAGGTGTACTGGGGTATGACATACCCGGACCGACTTTGATGAGGTTTTTGAACTGAAGCCTCATCGAGAACTGTCAACGAGTCTATCCTGTTAAGGCATGTTTCACCTGCAGCTACTGGGCGCTAGATGTCGCTATTTCATCTAGTTTTAATTCTACAGCTGCAAATAGAGGTCGTGGGGTATTCTATACCCCTGAACACTAACAAAGGGTTAAACTTCAAAACTACAAGAAGAAATAAAACCAATATTCACAGTTGTGCAAAATAATGATCAATTAAATGTCTGCGGCAGTCAAAACCGATAATATCATGATTTCTTCCTTGATTTATTTCATCAGTCATCAGCGAGAGCTGACGCATGCTAAAATACGGTGAAAACTAACTCGGTAAAAAACAGTGCAAAATCTCAAAAAAGTGACTCATAAACTAAATCAAAATGACTATAGGGGTGAAACCCACCCTTTGATAGTTTTTGTGACCCAGTGGACGCTATATAAGTGCCAAAAACAGTAAAAAACACCACCCGGACAAGGGTTTTCATACCCTAGCCCGGAGAGGCAGTGAAACCCCCAAAAAACTGACAAACCCCAAATGAACCCCTCCGGAGACGATGGTAACCAAAGCAAGACTCCAAGCAAGTCCAGTGAGCCAGAAAAAGCCAAAGCATCTTTTCTAAAATCGCCAAATACAAAGCGTCACTCCGCAGCGCCATCTGCCAAGCGGGAGCTCAACTTCGACAAATTCGACGTAGATACCGCTATTCACGATTTAATAAACAAGATAATCCCCGATACGGAATCAACAAAAGTAGGCGGAGTCAACGAACACTGCACTGCTGTCTCGACAGAATTCGTCAAACCGCAAGGCTCTCCACTGCGCCCAGCGAAATTCAATCCCTACAAGCCTGAAGCTCCGCCAAAGCCAAGCCCCGAACAATCAGCTGCGGAAACATCAGAAGGAGTTCGCTCCACGCCCCCAAAAAAAGAAGAAACATCTAAAAAAATCCTAAAAACACAGCAAAAAAAAAAGAAAGAAGCCAGCGACTCGTCGAACTCGTCGCTGCCTAGAAAAAGGAAAGAAACTAAAAACTCTAGCAACCAAGGCCTAGATATAGAAATCGACATAAAAAAATGCTCGTCCCTACAACCAATCGCCAACCAACTACACCCTAGTTGAAGATGACGCATCAACCCATGAAGACGAATTCATACAAGACAACCCAAAAAAAATATATTCCGATAACCACAATAAACAAAAATAAAAATAAAAAAATGGCAAATAAAGAAATCACTTTAAAAAACAAATTCGGACCACTAAGTGACGGAGACGACGAAATCGGACGCAAAAATATCGACCCAATACCTGGGACGTCACAAATCGCAGCTTTATCTAAAAATAATAATTTTATTAAAAAAAAATACATCTTAATGTTCCCTAATGGGCCACTGCAGATAAATAATATATATATACTGTATCTATTTATATTTTCAGTTTTTTTACGAATAAGATATAATTTAATATTTTAGTCTTTTAAATAAATTATATATTCTTCGATTACTGTTTTAAAAATCTTTGGTTTGATGTTCCTTTATTTTTGCTGGTAATTCACTATATTTCCTTATTCCCTCATGCATCATCTGTTTTTGACTGGTACTTGTTTTTGCTCTGTTTATTCTTATTTTTTCCCTATTTCTAGTTTTGTAATTGTGTATTTCTTCCTGTTTTGTTAGGTTTATGTTTACAAAAAGTTTATATACAAATTTTCAGTTTCAAGTATATCTAATTCTTTGATTTTCAAGTATTTTGTTTTTTTATATATTTCTTTAGTAGCTGTTTCCGGTTTGATGTTATGTAACATCCTGATTACCTTATTTTGTATTCTTTGTAATTTGTATATTTCTGTTTTGTTGGCCGTTCCCCAAAATGGTATCATGTAGGTTAAGTTACTTTTCACGTATGCATTATAGAGCATCCTTTTATGTTTTGGTGTTATATTGTCTTTGACTTTGTATGCCATGTTTATTTTTGATATTTCCTTTTTTAATTTATTTATATGTGCTGTCCATTTTTTGTCAAATATTAGCCAAGTATTTGATTTCTTCTACCTTTTCTAACGTTGTTCCGTTTATTGCGATATTGATGGTATGTTCTTTTGTTCTTTTTTCTATATGTATTAGGTAGCATTTCTTTTCGTTAATTGTCAATTTGTTTGTGTTTGTCCATTTTTGTATTGTTTCTATGTCTTCTTCTATTTTATTTTGTACTTCTTGATCTATTCCCTCATAGAACATAGCTAGGTCATCTGCCTACATCATAATTTGTGTAGTGTTGGGTCATTTATGTAGATGAGATAAAGAAAAGGCCCAAGTATTGATCCTTGAGGTACTCCACAAATTACTTTTAGGTTTTTACTTTTGTTTCCGTCAGTTGTTGTGTGTTTTTTTCTGTTTTTTAGGTTATTTAAGAATAACTCGATTGGTTTCTTTTGGACTCCTATTTGTTTAAGTTTGCCTATGTCCACGGTGTCAAAGTCCAATTATAGTCTTTTCCTCATCAAGTCTTTTGTGAATATGTTGTAATAGATTAACCATTGCTGTTGTCGTACTTTTTTTTATTGAAACCCGTGTTGAGATTGAGAAGATGAGTAATGTACTGTTTTTAACATGTGTTGTCAATCTATTGTTCTTTTGGCGGTTTTGTAGTTGGACCATTCTGTGGGTGTTGGTTGTTCGGGCCTTCCGTTTCTCCTAGTTAGGATCCTCCTTTTAGAGTTGCACTCCCTCCTTAGCTCTGCTACCTCGGGCGTCCACCAGCATGCCGGGCGTTTAGAGCCTCTCCCATAGTCCTTCTTTTTGAAGGTTTTGTCCGCTGCCTCCTTTATCGCCTCGTGCCAGCTTTCGGCGCAGTTTGCAGCTCTCTTGGCGAGACCTATCCCCACTTTCCAGAGGAACTCCTCCCTACGCTCTGGGTTAATTTTCCATTCCCCTCTCCGCTCTGTGTGTTGTGTGGCTGTGCTGTTCTGGATCTGATACTGATGTATTTGTGATCGCTTAGGGTTTCCTCGTCGCGTACGTCCCACCGCGTCACTCTATCCTTGAGGTTTGCGGAGCACACCGTGATGTCAATGAAAGAGTGCTGCCTCCCTCTTACAAACGTGAGGGCCTCGCCGCGATTTAGGATGTGGAGGTCTTCCGAGGCGAACCACTCCGCGAGTGCTGTACCCCTATGGTCGTCCACCGGTGATCCCTAAAGCGCCGATTTGGCGTTGAAATCGCCTCCGACGAGGACTGCCGTGTTGCGCCTTCTCGTTTTATATACCCTGCGTAGCGTGTCCAGGTATCTCTCGAAGGTCCAGAGATCCACATTTGGAGAGATGTAGCACCCAAATATGGTGATGCTCCCGATCTGCATCCAGGCGACCCCGTTTCCTCCGCTCCCGCTTGTGCCTGTCAGTTTGTTGTTTAGGCATTTTATAGCCACGTTCGTAAGGTTTTCGCAGGTCCAGCCCCCTAACTCAACTATTTTCTTGTTTGGTTCTGGCACTATCACTACGTCGATCTGTCTTTTAGCCGCATTTTGCAGGAGCAGGTCCAAGGCTTCTCTGCTCCTGTTTGTATTGCATTGCAGTCGTTTTATTTTGTGGGCTGGTTTTTGTTCTCTTTTTTCGTGGTTGCCCTCTCCCTTGCTTCCTGAAGGGCCTGTCTATATTTAGGACACTTGGTGGAGTCTGCTCTGTGTCCTTCCTTTTCGCAGGTCAGACATCTCTCCTCGTTTGGACAATCTTTGACGACGTGTCCCTCCCCAGGTTTTCTTGTTGTTAGCCACGTTCTCCTTGCAGTACCTTGCTACGTGGCCCACTTTTTGGCATTTGAAGCATCTTGGGATGAAGATGTTCTCTTCCACCGGGCATCTAGACCAACCAATATTTATCTTCCTCATGGCGAGGATGCTTGCTGCCAGACCTCTGGGTATGCTGACAGTCGAGAAAAAGTTTCCGCTTTTTGTTTCAAAGAGCTTCCTTGGTCTGATGAGCGTGCTCGTGGAGTTTGTGGTTTTACGGATTTCCTCCTCCGTTACTCCAGGGGCAGATTCTTGAGTATTATATTGGCTAGGGGTTGTCTCTCTTCCGCCTGGGCTATATCCTTGAGCTCTTCCCCTATCTTTGCACGGAGCTGTTCGCAGGCCCCTTCAGATTTTTCGCTGATGGCTATGTTGATGACACCGCTATTATTTTTGCTAATGATTTTGACATCTACGTTAATCTGCTATGTCTATTTTCTGTCTCATTTTTTTTTAGGATTTCGTTGTACTGTATGCTCGTCGTCGGGTTTACCTTGATAAGGATGTTCTTGTTAGTTTTATTCCCCTGGGCTCGAAATTCTTCATTTGTATGCTTTGCTTTGGATTTTGCGATGCAGATGTTTACATGCGTGTCCCTGCTATGCAGGAGGCATTCCATTATCTGTCTAATTTTTTGCGTGGCCACACTGCCGCTTACAAGGTTGACTCTTTTCCTGCCTGTGTCTGACAGCGCTTGGACTAATTTCCTGGCTGTTTTTATTAGGCTGTCCGTCTACTCCGGTTCCCCTGTGCTCACCAAGAAGTGGTATTTTCCCTCCGTTTTCCTGCCTTCCCCTTCTTCTTGGATAATATTTTGTTCTAGGACGTAGGTGATGTGTCCCGGGTTTGGTTTTTGTTTAGAGACTATCTCTTTTATCTTTGGGTTGTTGTCTAAGAGTATTTTTACGATCCCTTTCTCCGTTTCCTTCAGGTTGATTAGCCATGCGGAGTCTTCGTCGGGCCGTATCCTTAGGGGGTTCCCGTTCACCAGTTCGGTTTTCTTAAACACGGTGTTCGGCCACTTGTATCTATGGTTTCCCTAATTTGTTCGTCGGACATATCGGCTTCCAGTTTGATTCTTCTTTCGTGTTCCGCGTTTGTATGCGTCCGCTGTCTCCTTTTCGAGTTTGTGGTCGTCAATCCATTTGGTGATTTCTTTCCTGTTTAGGATCGCCACCTGTCTATTTAGTACCTTGCGTTCTCCCTCTTTTTCTGGTGGTTTTCAGAGGCAGTGTCCGCCTTCCTTTTTTTGCTCTGATAAAGGGGCTGGCAGATCCCAAATAAATACTTTAATTTTATAAAAATCAAATTTATTTTTAAAAACATTGAATAGTAACAAATCACTTACCTGGTCCTGACAGGATACCTTGGAATATCCTAGGGCTAGTAGAAGGAATCACACCAGGTATTACGAACTGGATAATGAACTTTAAATTTAAGAAGCATAATGTTAATAATGCCTTCTATAACTTAAGCTTTAATATTGTCAACACTCACTACCAAAGTATTCGATTATCTCTTAGTCTGTAAAAATAATTTAGACCGATCAGGAGAAGTTTTTTACATCCTAGTTTGTAAAAATGCCGCTAGGACCAATAAAAAAAATTCGATATCTGCTCACAGTTCTGAAACTATCTAACCTCACTTTATACTTTTAATACTTTTTACTATAATTGTATGTAAGTTTCATGTATTATTAAACAAATAAAACTGCCTTGAGCTCAACACTAAAAGACTGACTTTGCAGCCTTATGACATAAATAACTAGTAATGTTGAAATTGCATTCAAGCTCGGAACAAAAATTTTATTAACAAAAATATTTAAAAATTAAAAAATACTTGCCATTTTTTATGGTTTAATCAACACTCTCCATATATTTTTTATTTTTAGTCATTCTTGATTTAGAAAATTTCAACCAGTCCTTAATGACATTGTCTATTAATAATGTCGATCTGTCGTTTCCAGGAAAGTTTTTTAAAGCTGCGGCTAAAACCGAATTATACTATAATATGATAAGAAAAACCAAAAATATTTTGAATATATTTTCACACAAAAAAAAAATTAAATAAATACATACCATGAATAACTTTAACTATGTTTAATTTTTCAAAAGCGAGTTTATCCCTTCCTTTCCAATTATACTTGGAACACACATAATCTTTTAAGATAAATTTTAAAATTCGTCTTGTAAGGACCTGTACTCCACTTCCTCCAACAGCCAATAATCTTTTCACCTAAAATACTTGTATTAACCATAAAATTAAATTTTAATTTTTGTACATTTGTACATTTAATTTCTAATTTATTATCAAAGTTTAATTACAAACAATCAAAACAGTTTGGCCAAAAATTGTAATATTAAAATTATATTTACGGATAAATATTTATTCTGGATAATTTATTAATACATATATATACAGGGATGGTAATGTGCTTTTAGGCCGTTTAATAAATAAAGACAAATGCATTTTGAGACGTGGGAGTGGTGGAGTGACGTAAGAGTAGTGGGGCAAGCCAGACCGCGCCGCGTGGCTACGATCATCGCCCGACCGCAGACAAGAGAATGTGTTGTAAGTAAGCGGTAGTACGTTTGTTATAAATTAGGAAATATTCTCTAATATTTTAGAACACTATTTTTGTTTGAACATTTACTTTATTTATTTTTTAATTTAAATATTTTAGAATACCATTTTTGTTTAAACATTTACTTTAATTTATTTATTTAAACATTTTAGAATACCATACCATTTTTGTTTAAGAATATTTGTTTTTTTTTATTACAAGAATACTATGGTTTATTTTCCACATTTTCCCAAGTATTCGTTTTTGTAAACAAAATCATAGTTAAATTTTAAATTTTAAAATTCCTCCGTCCGCACTCCAACGTCGACCGAATAATACTGAAATTATTTCGAGACTCGATTGCGAAATTTGCGTCAAGGTTATCTAGTAGTGGGATTGTAAAGCAGTTAGAGGAGGGGAAGCAAAACATTGGCAGACGTTTAATTGTTTTGATTTATTCGTTTTGTACTGCACGCTTATGGCAGAGGGGAAATAAGTATTTTGTTATCCTATTCGTTCAACAATGGTTGTTTGTCTCTCTTATTTATACGTTTATCTCACTTATTCGTACGTTTTATATAGCATGCATCTTTGTTTATTAAACGGCCTAAAAGCCCATTACCATCCCTGTATATATATATATATATATATATATAAACTTTCTAAATAAATAAAAAATAGCGCACTTACCTCGGCAACTCTTATTTGTCGACGCTAGGTCGGGGTACGTACGAACGAAAATCATGAGTTAGGGGCGCCAGTTGCGACAAACTCAACAGGTAGTCAGGGTAAAATAATTTCACAATAACACTAGTTTGCAACTTTAACAATGTCAATTTATTAATAACTATTATTGTTAGGATTATTCTTAAAAATTTATAACATGCGTTGCACTGTGCGAGTGATATTTATCAACTCGCCGCACTGTGGATTATTTCGATTGACTGCAGCGCATGCGTCTGACGCAACAGCTGATGACTGATAATTGACAGAATCAAAACAACTTAAATCAACGTTAATTTTACCTTAAAATATGGTGTACAACTAAATTAAGTCCCTAAATATGGTTAACTTAATCAAATGTCTGTTACACAAGGTAAGTCTTCATTATTTCTAACATTAGGCTACAAAATGTGGATTTTACAAAAAATTTTTAGGCTAAGGCTTGGTGGTAATTTCTAGCTGTAACACTCCAATCCTGTCACTAGAACATATGGGATGTTCGTTGTACTACATTCCACCATACAATCCAGGAAACCAGGTAATTTTCACTCCAAAACAAATTCCCTCTTATAAATTTTGTAATTAATGCACGACTTTCTAAGGGTATCCAAGCTATATCCCAGAGTGCTTCCAATAACCAAACAAGCCCAACAACTTAACCAATTAGGCGAATACAACCCAAAAAATTAACACAGTGGCTAAAAAGGCCTTATAATGGAAAATACAAAGAATTGTAGAAAAATATGCGAATTGTAATGTACAGCTGAACTTACCCACAAGATTTGAGCCTTTTTACACAATTTTCAACAATTAATTGACAAAATATTTTAGAATTTGGGGCAATTTATTTCACATCAAGTGTGCCGAAACAAAATTAAATTCCAAATGGCTGACTATCTTAGTAAATTTTAGTTTGTAAAGTGGCAGACTGTGCTATACAGTCTGCTTTGTTATACAGTCCGTACAATTACAAGTTACAATGGTTATTTCAATTCAAATAAAAATACATAATAAAAATTAAATCTTAACAAAGAACAGATTAAATTCTTCATAAACACAGTACACCTTATAAAATAAAGCCCAAACACAGCAAATGACTGAACTTTACTTGGTGACCGTTACAATCGGCCATATGAATAAAAATGAGCATATGCTTATAATCGCAAAATTCGAAGTAAATCCTTCGAAGCGTATGAATAAAATTGTAAGTAAATCCTTTTGCTCAAAAGTAGGAAGCAAATGCTCATAAAGTAAAAGAATCGTCTTAAACGTATGAATAAAGCCAACCATTTGCTTACAAGTGCGAGCATTTACTTGCGGAAAAGTGATGCTGCTGTTCAGTAGCATCAGAGCTGTCACCATTAGAGGTTCCGCGAATTCCACGTGAAAGACGGTTGTGAAATTGCAAGTAAAAATGGCTGAAATGATAAATCTAAATCGAAATTTAAAGTACTACAAACAACGGCGTACACCCCGATCAAGTGATTTTAAAAGCATGTTCCGGTTTGAACAGGTAAATGTAGAGTGGTTAGCTCAGAACTTTCTAGGCGAGAGTATAGAACGGCGTGGTGGTGCATTATCAGCTGTTCAGAGAATGAAAATCTGTTTAAGATATTTGGCAAATCCAGGTTTCCAAAGCGGAATTGGCGAAGAGCTAGGCATTGAGCAGTCTACTGTTTCTCGCACTGTGCGAATGGTGGTTACAAAAATAATTCAACAGGCTAATCGTTGGATTCAGTTTCCTAAAAGTCACCATGCCGTAATGGAAGCTAAAGAACTATGTGCAAGTCAGTTTAGATTTCCGACTGCTATTGGAGCACTGGACTGTACACACGTGAAGATAGAAAAACCTTAAGTACATGGGGACGAATACATAAACCGCAAAGGAGAAGCTACTTTGAATGTGCAAGCTACGTGTAATGGAAAATACATATTCACCAGCGTGGATGTGAGCTGGCCTGGTTCTGTACATGACAGCTGGATCTGGAAAAATCGACGTGAGAGAAGTAATGCAACGTACAGAGAACGCCGTTCTTATTGCTGATCAGGGATATGGAATTGAGCCTTGGCTTATGACTCCATTTCGAGAACCTGTCAACACAAACGTAAAGAAGGCTTACAATAAACTGTTGTCAAAGGAAAGGGTAATTATCGAGCAGTGCTTTGGACAGCTGAAACGGCAGTTTCCTATATTAAAATATTGTTGTCGCGTGACACTGGCTAATGTCCCAGATATAATTGTAGCTTGTATCATTTTACACAACATTGCTAAAGCCTTGCAGGATCCAGATTTTGAAGACAATGATGAAGATGAAGACGTCGGACTTGTTTATGATGGGTATGAGGAAGAGAATGATAATGTTCGTGTCCGCGGGCAGGAAGTACGACAAGCTTTAGCCAATATAATTCAAAATTATAACGCACAGTAACTAGTAATATATGTATTTATAGTTAATGATGGTTGATTTATTAATTAATAAAAAATAATTATACATTCTGTAATTGTCGTACCTACATCATGTAGGCTACATGCATGTAGCACAATGTGGGTTTTTCTACTAGTAAGATTAAGCACTTTGAATATGAGGACTAGATAACAAGTGGAGTGACTCTTTAATTAAATTTTGATAGCAGTCGTAAACTACTTTTTCTGTTGTTTCTTTTTCTGGGAGCATATTATTGATTTTAATGGCATGTTATTAAAATCAATAATATGCTCCCAGGAAAAGAAACAACAGAAAAAGTAGTTTACGACTGCTGTCAAAATTTAATTAAAGATTCACTCCACTTGTTATCTAGTCATCCTATTCAAATTGCTTAGTCTTACTAGTAGGAAAACCCGCATTGTTCTACCCAATCATATATTTGCATACGTCTTTCCATCGTTGTATACTATTTGCACGGCATCCTTTTTTATTTTATTTTCATAATAGTTTCTTTGGACTCTGGTGGTCTGTATTTGCTCTAGCAAAACTAACCGTTGCAGCTCTAGGTTGGACAACTTTTGAGTTTCCTCTGTTTCGCCTGGCAGTGCAGTTGATGATCGCTTTTGACGTGGAGGCAGTGGCAAAGGGGTAGCAGCCGTAGATGTTTTTTCACATTGATCCACGTCAGTGTTGCTTAATGCCATGTTAGTTGCACTGGAACAGGACGCAGTGACTGTGTCTCCAAACGATGTAATTGGAGATAATACGTCCAATGACGTGCCGTATGATTTGGCTCCTGGAATAAGTATTTTCGATAAAAACATTTCAAAGGCTTCAAAAGTACAGTCCACTTACCTGCTATTTTCGCAACGGTTGGATTTGAATCTCCATCCATGGCCTCGTATAAAACTTTTTCCCATGGAAGAAGTTTGATAGGTTTATTACCCGTTTTCTTTACATCCGTTTTCTTTTTTAAACGGGCCTTCATGTTGTTAATTTTTTTCATTAATTGTCCCGAGGTGATTAGTTGCCCCATTACATTTTGATATAATTGTAGAATTTGTTTTATCGCGTCTTCTTTCTTTTTTTTCAATGCGGGCGTCTGTGACTTACTAAGGATCTCTGGATGTTTGCTGATTTGATTTGCTATGAACTCTAGCACCTGCACCTTATTAGCACATTCAAGTGCAACATCATCTTCGGATGACGACATTTTAAAAACTGAATAAACGCTGCAAGCGCTTAGACTGCAAACACGCAAAAAAACACGCGAAAAAATACAATACCTGCTAAACATTTCCTGGTACAATAACATTGTGAATGTAAACACTCTATTGTATAAAAATATAAATATTTAAGTCATGAACTTTTACTCGTTTTTATGAAGCATTTGCTCGCAAGTATAAGGTAATCATTATTCATATTAAATGAAGCAATTGCTTTTACTCCTACCTTTTGCTCTAAGCATTTGCTTTTTCTTCTGCCTTATGCTTATAAGCATTTACTTTATTTTTATTCATATGGCCCAATATATATATATATATATATATATATATATATATATATATATATATATATATATATACACATACATTCATATATATATATATATATATAGATACAAACTAAAAAAAACATTAGTAAAAGATTGATCGAACCTATCCTGACTGAATAATTGTTTTATTAAAATACCAATAAAAACACTACAGTTAATTTTTTATGTTTAGGCAATCCTACATAATGCCAATTTTTCTATAATATATCTCTATTCTTTCAAAGAAGTTTTACTGCCTTAAATAATTATTTAAATAACGTTATTTTTCTTAGAAGTTTTACTAATTTAAGAAATCGTTTAAATAACGTTAATGTTTAATATAACTTTTTAGTTTTATTAATTCGTAAATAAAACGTTATTATTTAACAACGTTTCAACGAATAGTTGTAAAATAGATCGTTATATAAATTGAAAATAACGTTAAAAGATTTAGTTAAAATAATGGCAGGACTAAATTAAAAATTATAGTATTAATTAAACCTATTTTTTATATAAGTTAAAAATTAATTTAAACAAAACGTTTTTTAAACGTTTCATTTTAAACCGAAAATAAAAAACGTAAATAAAACGTTGGAAAAATAACTGGTAACGTGTTTTTAACCAAATAAACGTCATTTTAACGATATTTATACGTATGTGTCCGTCGGGTTCTGTTTGGTTTTCAGGATGCAAAAGGGAAACTAACAAGTAGTTGCGGTTAGCATAGTCACTGTCACCTAAAATGATGTAATTTTGTGAAAAAAAACTTAATAAAAATAAACTATAATGGCCTGCTAAGCCAGACCCTTATATCTAAAATATTAGGGAGTTTTTAAGACGTTTATTTTACGTGCCGTTATTAGCGTTTTCGTTATTGTGAGCATGCGCTGTGCACTGACCCGTAAATAAAGGTTTGTCAGATAAATATACTTTTTAAGTCTTCTAAAATAACGTCTTAGCTAACCGTAACTTTACTTTGAACTTAACTCTAACCTCATGTGAATTAGGTAATAATAATGGATATTTTACAACATATTTTACAACGCCATAATGGAATCGATCACAATTTAATAAGGGGCATAATTTTGCACAATATATTTGATAATCCACAAGAAGGAAACGCGAGAGAAATCATCCTCCAGCGACCTGACTTTAATTTAGAAGATATGGAGGCCAGAGATGTAAAGCTGAACTTCAGATTTTGTAAAGAACATATACCCAGACTTTGCCGAGCCTTACGTATACCAGACCAAATTACTACAAGGTCTGGCTGCCAAGCAAATGGTAAAATTGGTGTTTTAATTTTTGTTTTATTAATTCACTTTTTAACTCTTTAACTTTTGTAGGCCTCGAGGGCTTATGCATGCTGTTAAGGCGATTAGCACATCCTAATCGTCTCTGCGACTTGGAACATGCTTTTCAAAGGTCTTCGTCAGCCCTTTCTGAAATAATAAATTTTGTTAATACACACATATATAACGAATTTGGACATTTGTTAGAGGATCTCAATAATCTTAATTGGTTAAATAAAAACAAACTTCAACAATATGCACAAGTAGGTAAACAAATATGAGCATATTTTATTATAAACTTGAATTTTAGGTTATCGTTGATAAAGGTGCAAGAGTGCCCAATTGCTGGGGTTTTATTGATGGTACAGTAAGACCTATCTGTCGTCCCTCAGTTGAACAAGAAAATTACTACTCAGGTCACAAGCGAGTACACTGCGTAAAGTACCAATCTGTAGTTACCCCAGATGGTATAACTGTAAATGAGCTTGGTGCATTTAAAGGAAGAAGGCATGATGCAGGAATTTTCAGAGAGTCTGGGTTCTATCAGCAATTAGAAGCTGAAGCCAGATTTCCTGATGGAAACCATTTTGTAATTTTCGGTGACCAGGCATATGGTATCCACGAATTGCTCTTGTGTCCGTATCCTGGTCATGGTATAAATGAAAATCAACAAAATTTCAATGCTTCAATGTCTGTAGTAAAGGAAGCTGTAGAATGGAGTTTTGGAAAAATATTTACCGAATGTGCATTTTTAGATTTTAAAAAGAATCAAAAACTCTTACTACAAAATATTGAAGCCATGTACATTGTACATTGTACAAGACTGCCACAATCTTAACAAATTGCTTTAGTTGCCTATATGGCAATCAAACATCTTCGTTTTTTGATATAGCCCCTGTCCCTTTAGAAGTTTACCTTAATATAGACATGTAATTTCTAAAAAAAAAGTAACTGGATACAAACCTGTTATTTAAAACTATCAATAGTACTTATTTAATAATCATAATTAAAGACAACCATAGAATTAAAACAATCTTTGTTGCAAAATAGAATTGTATTTAGGATTAGTGAATAGGAACAAAATGAAATCAGTTTGTATGATTTTTACTTATAATGAAATTAATTAATACATCTTGTCTCTTAATTATATCAGTTAACTCTTTTCTATGTTCAGTTTCTAACTATATTTTTTTTTCTGACAACTCAAACTTACTTTTTATCTCAAACTCTGTAATGGCTGTTTGTTTTTCTAAAATTTATATTTTTCTTTCCTCTAGTAACAATCTCTTTTCTTCCAATTCAAGTTCCTTTTTTTTAATTTATGTTGATCGCTATCATATGCCTCCAAATACGCGAGTCCTTGTTTTTGGGTATTAACTTTTCTCCTCCTTGCTCTTGTTGGACCTAGACACATGAAATAAATTTATTTGTGTCCAACCAAAACTAGTTTTTCAACCGAAACTGAAATTTTTGTTTCAGTTTCGGACGAAACCGAAACTTAAGTTTAAATTATTACATAATTTTAGTTTTGAGAAATCAATTTTCTAATACTAAAATTATGTTAGAATTTAGTCTTCAACCAAGCAGGCCTGAACACCAAAAAATTAAAATTTAAATCGGGAATTGTTTACCTTTTACATGTATACAGGAGTCGTTTCACCTAACTGGGACACACTGTATATATATTAAATATACAAAAGAATTGCTTTAAAATAAATTCCTTTTAAAGTAATTCTTTAAATTAAATATAAAAAATTCCCGATTTAAATTTTTATTTTTTGGTGTTCAGCCCTGCTTGGTTGAAGACTAAATTCTAACATAATTTTAGTATTAGAAAATTGATTTCTCAAAACTAAAATTATGTAAGAATTTAGTCTTTCATGTCTTAATTAGGAGAAATACCTAGCACCTTCGATCTTGATGGTTTGGGGGTATCGGCAGTACTTGGAGTATCTGAGGATTTCGTTTGAGGTACAGAGTTTGATGATAGGCTTTTTCCTAAAAATAAAAATATGTTATATCTTAAAATTTGGAGAAAAAAAAATAAAAAATGTATTTTTACGTTCTAAAAAAATCGCTTTAAAAAATTATACAATTATGATTACATGTAATATTAACCTTATAATGTTTGAAAGCGATTTTTACCAAAACCTGACGGTAAATAATTTTAAAATTTTAACGTAAGTTAAATATTTATATTTTAATTAATTTATCAAAAATTATTCCAATTCTGTCGATAGCCAGTTTTACTCGACAACTATCTTAATTACCTAGGTACATTATTTATATAAAATATTTACCATTTTCATCGTCTTGGTTAAAAGAACTATAATTATGTTCATCATCCAAATGATTTCAATAGTTACTTTGCCAATATTCCCCATAATATAATAAACTCCCTAAATAATCCCATTAATAACCACGATTATTACGCGAGCTTTCTTGATAATTTCTCGGGCCCGACATTTCAGTTTAATGAATTTACTTTTATTGAGATAAGAGATATTATTCAAAATTTAAATAATTCTAAAAGTCTTGATTATTATAACTTAAACTCAAAAATCCTAAAAACTCTATTAAATTAAATCATTGTGCCTTTAACGAACCTCATGAATACTTGTCTAAAAGAATCTGTCTTTCCACAAAGTTTAAAAATATCCAGAGTATTACCTATATACAAAAAAGGTTGTCATAATGACCCCGGTAACTATAGACCAATTTCTATAACTCCCATAGTAAGTAAAGTAATTGAAAAAAGCCTTAAAAAACAATTAGTTAATTATTTTGAGTGTAATAAATTATTTAACAGCTGTCAGTATGGATTTAGACCTGGAATGTCCACCACGATGGCAATTAATGATTTATTAAAGTTAATATACAAATCGTTCGAAAACCAAAGCTATACAGGAGTTTTGTTTTGTGATATATCCAAAGCTTTTGACTGTGCTTCCATTGATGTTCTTATGACAAAACTTAAAAGGTATAACTTTGGACAAAGTGCCTGCTCCCTGATGCATTCATATATGTCCAACAGACACCAATTTGTATTATTTAAGAACAAGTCTTCCACGTTATTACCAATTAATATAGGAGTGCCGCAGGGATCTGTTCTTGGTCCTTTAATATTTTTAATATATATTAATGATTTACCAAAATGCACCTCGCAAGCTAACTTTGTCCTTTTTGCCGACGATACAACTGTCGCAATATCAAACAGAGACTTAAATAACCTGAGAACATCAATGGAAGAAGCTAAAGTCATAATTAATAACTGGTTTCTTGCCAATGCCTTAAAACTTAACCAAGAAAAAACAACAACAACTTTTTTTTCCCTAAAAACAGGAGAACACTCAGATGTTTCTTCTTCGAAATTCCTGGGTGTTTATCTGGATAGCAAGTTATTGTGGGAGGAGCACACTAATAATGTTTCGCACAACATGTCCACGGGCTTATACGTATTACGCAATCTTAAATTTATTGTATCACAGACAGTATTAATAACTGCATATCATGCATTGGTACATGCAAAAATGTCTTATGCCATTCTAGTATGGGGACACGCAGCCACGGTCTCACGTGTTTTTAAAATTCAACGTAAAGCCATACGCATTATAGATAATATTAAATACCGAGATGACGTTCGATCCTCTTTTATAAAACTAAGAGTGTTGACTTTACCATGTGTCTATATATACAATTGTCTATTACATATGAAAAAAAACATATCGGACTACTCCACCCGAAATCAAGTGCATAATATAAATATCAGAAATAATGAAAACTTACATATTGAGTTTCATCGATTAAAACGAACTAAAAATTCAATAACCTATTGGGGACCTATGTGTTATAACAAATTACCCAAGCATGTTAAAGAAATGCCGTTAAAATCATTTTGTAATTTCATAAAATTTTATTTAATTGAAAAAGCCTTTTATAACATTCAGGAGTTTCTGGATAATGATATGTTATGAATTTTTTTGTATTAATTGGTTTTTTATTACCTTTAGGTATATTGTACTGTTGTATGCAAATAAAGTATAATAATAATAATAATAAACGTCTTTATTGAAATAAGGAAATACATTATTCCAAATGGCGGAATTTGAATTTAAACATTAAAAATGTAAAAATTCATTCTTACATTCAACCAAAAAATGCCAGCTATACCGGCTACAATATTATTAAAATAATAGCTATGTATACATATATATATATATATATATATATATATATATATATATATATATATATATATATATATATATATATATATATATATATATATATATATATATATATATATATATATATATATATATATATATATATATATATATATATATATATATATATATATATATATATATATATATATATATATATATATATATATATATATCACAAGCGAGTACACTGCGTAAAGTACCAATCTGTAGTTACCCCAGATGGTATAACTGTAAATGAGCTTGGTGCATTTAAAGGAAGAAGGCATGATGCAGGAATTTTCAGAGAGTCTGGGTTCTATCAGCAATTAGAAGCTGAAGCCAGATTTCCTGATGGAAACCATTTTGTAATTTTCGGTGACCAGGCATATGGTATCCACGAATTGCTCTTGTGTCCGTATCCTGGTCATGGTATAAATGAAAATCAACAAAATTTCAATGCTTCAATGTCTGTAGTAAAGGAAGCTGTAGAATGGAGTTTTGGAAAAATATTTACCGAATGTGCATTTTTAGATTTTAAAAAGAATCAAAAACTCTTACTACAAAATATTGAAGCCATGTACATTGTACATTGTACAAGACTGCCACAATCTTAACAAATTGCTTTAGTTGCCTATATGGCAATCAAACATCTTCGTTTTTTGATATAGCCCCTGTCCCTTTAGAAGTTTACCTTAATATAGACATGTAATTTCTAAAAAAAAAGTAACTGGATACAAACCTGTTATTTAAAACTATCAATAGTACTTATTTAATAATCATAATTAAAGACAACCATAGAATTAAAACAATCTTTGTTGCAAAATAGAATTGTATTTAGGATTAGTGAATAGGAACAAAATGAAATCAGTTTGTATGATTTTTACTTATAATGAAATTAATTAATACATCTTGTCTCTTAATTATATCAGTTAACTCTTTTCTATGTTCAGTTTCTAACTATATTTTTTTTTCTGACAACTCAAACTTACTTTTTATCTCAAACTCTGTAATGGCTGTTTGTTTTTCTAAAATTTATATTTTTCTTTCCTCTAGTAACAATCTCTTTTCTTCCAATTCAAGTTCCTTTTTTTTAATTTATGTTGATCGCTATCATATGCCTCCAAATACGCGAGTCCTTGTTTTTGGGTATTAACTTTTCTCCTCCTTGCTCTTGTTGGACCTAGACACATGAAATAAATTTATTTGTGTCCAACCAAAACTAGTTTTTCAACCGAAACTGAAATTTTTGTTTCAGTTTCGGACGAAACCGAAACTTAAGTTTAAATTATTACATAATTTTAGTTTTGAGAAATCAATTTTCTAATACTAAAATTATGTTAGAATTTAGTCTTCAACCAAGCAGGCCTGAACACCAAAAAATTAAAATTTAAATCGGGAATTGTTTACCTTTTACATGTATACAGGAGTCGTTTCACCTAACTGGGACACACTGTATATATATTAAATATACAAAAGAATTGCTTTAAAATAAATTCCTTTTAAAGTAATTCTTTAAATTAAATATAAAAAATTCCCGATTTAAATTTTTATTTTTTGGTGTTCAGCCCTGCTTGGTTGAAGACTAAATTCTAACATAATTTTAGTATTAGAAAATTGATTTCTCAAAACTAAAATTATGTAAGAATTTAGTCTTTCATGTCTTAATTAGGAGAAATACCTAGCACCTTCGATCTTGATGGTTTGGGGGTATCGGCAGTACTTGGAGTATCTGAGGATTTCGTTTGAGGTACAGAGTTTGATGATAGGCTTTTTCCTAAAAATAAAAATATGTTATATCTTAAAATTTGGAGAAAAAAAAATAAAAAATGTATTTTTACGTTCTAAAAAAATCGCTTTAAAAAATTATACAATTATGATTACATGTAATATTAACCTTATAATGTTTGAAAGCGATTTTTACCAAAACCTGACGGTAAATAATTTTAAAATTTTAACGTAAGTTAAATATTTATATTTTAATTAATTTATCAAAAATTATTCCAATTCTGTCGATAGCCAGTTTTACTCGACAACTATCTTAATTACCTAGGTACATTATTTATATAAAATATTTACCATTTTCATCGTCTTGGTTAAAAGAACTATAATTATGTTCATCATCCAAATGATTTCAATAGTTACTTTGCCAATATTCCCCATAATATAATAAACTCCCTAAATAATCCCATTAATAACCACGATTATTACGCGAGCTTTCTTGATAATTTCTCGGGCCCGACATTTCAGTTTAATGAATTTACTTTTATTGAGATAAGAGATATTATTCAAAATTTAAATAATTCTAAAAGTCTTGATTATTATAACTTAAACTCAAAAATCCTAAAAACTCTATTAAATTAAATCATTGTGCCTTTAACGAACCTCATGAATACTTGTCTAAAAGAATCTGTCTTTCCACAAAGTTTAAAAATATCCAGAGTATTACCTATATACAAAAAAGGTTGTCATAATGACCCCGGTAACTATAGACCAATTTCTATAACTCCCATAGTAAGTAAAGTAATTGAAAAAAGCCTTAAAAAACAATTAGTTAATTATTTTGAGTGTAATAAATTATTTAACAGCTGTCAGTATGGATTTAGACCTGGAATGTCCACCACGATGGCAATTAATGATTTATTAAAGTTAATATACAAATCGTTCGAAAACCAAAGCTATACAGGAGTTTTGTTTTGTGATATATCCAAAGCTTTTGACTGTGCTTCCATTGATGTTCTTATGACAAAACTTAAAAGGTATAACTTTGGACAAAGTGCCTGCTCCCTGATGCATTCATATATGTCCAACAGACACCAATTTGTATTATTTAAGAACAAGTCTTCCACGTTATTACCAATTAATATAGGAGTGCCGCAGGGATCTGTTCTTGGTCCTTTAATATTTTTAATATATATTAATGATTTACCAAAATGCACCTCGCAAGCTAACTTTGTCCTTTTTGCCGACGATACAACTGTCGCAATATCAAACAGAGACTTAAATAACCTGAGAACATCAATGGAAGAAGCTAAAGTCATAATTAATAACTGGTTTCTTGCCAATGCCTTAAAACTTAACCAAGAAAAAACAACAACAACTTTTTTTTCCCTAAAAACAGGAGAACACTCAGATGTTTCTTCTTCGAAATTCCTGGGTGTTTATCTGGATAGCAAGTTATTGTGGGAGGAGCACACTAATAATGTTTCGCACAACATGTCCACGGGCTTATACGTATTACGCAATCTTAAATTTATTGTATCACAGACAGTATTAATAACTGCATATCATGCATTGGTACATGCAAAAATGTCTTATGCCATTCTAGTATGGGGACACGCAGCCACGGTCTCACGTGTTTTTAAAATTCAACGTAAAGCCATACGCATTATAGATAATATTAAATACCGAGATGACGTTCGATCCTCTTTTATAAAACTAAGAGTGTTGACTTTACCATGTGTCTATATATACAATTGTCTATTACATATGAAAAAAAACATATCGGACTACTCCACCCGAAATCAAGTGCATAATATAAATATCAGAAATAATGAAAACTTACATATTGAGTTTCATCGATTAAAACGAACTAAAAATTCAATAACCTATTGGGGACCTATGTGTTATAACAAATTACCCAAGCATGTTAAAGAAATGCCGTTAAAATCATTTTGTAATTTCATAAAATTTTATTTAATTGAAAAAGCCTTTTATAACATTCAGGAGTTTCTGGATAATGATATGTTATGAATTTTTTTGTATTAATTGGTTTTTTATTACCTTTAGGTATATTGTACTGTTGTATGCAAATAAAGTATAATAATAATAATAATAAACGTCTTTATTGAAATAAGGAAATACATTATTCCAAATGGCGGAATTTGAATTTAAACATTAAAAATGTAAAAATTCATTCTTACATTCAACCAAAAAATGCCAGCTATACCGGCTACAATATTATTAAAATAATAGCTATGTATACATATATATATATATATATATATATATATATATATATATATATATATATATATATATATATATATATATATATATATATATATATATATATATATATATATATATATATATATATATATATATATATATATATATATATATATAACAAAAAAAAAACAATTATGCTAAGTAGAAATACCAAGTTAATAATAACTTAAAAATAAACCCAAATAGACATTAAATAAATATTAAGAGTGTCATTGCTGCTCCATAAATAGAGTATCGAAAACTTTGGTTTTAAACAAGCGCTGTGACCATTTCAACATATTAGACCGTAAATTAAGTGGCAAGCCATTAACGTAGCTAGGAAGGATATAAGAAAAAGACCTTTTATATAATTCAGTACGATGAATCGGTACTGTTATGGCGTTTTTAAATCTAATATTTATATTATGAATATCAGTACGGTACGAAACTTTTCGATGTAAGTAGCCTGGTGCCTTAGTTTTAAGAAGGTTCTGAAAGAAACAAATTGAATGCATTTTGCGCCTGTGTTCCATATTTAACCACTTGTTATTTATTAGGGTGTAACTAATTCTATCATACTTCCTTATGCCAAATATTAATCGAGGGCAGCAATTTTGCAACTTTTGGATTCGGAAAGCATTGTATTTTGTAAGACATGGACCATAGACAGTATCACAATAATTTAATAAGGATAAAACCAAACTATTACATAACATTGACTTTGATTTTAAATTTAACAAATGTCTTACATGGTAAATTTGCTTTAAGTTACAGTACGCCGCTTTTAAGCGACTTCCAACATGCTCCGAAAAACGCAGATCCTCATCCATTAAAAGTCCCAAATTTTTTACACAATTTTGAATTTTAAGGGGTTCATTGTTTAATAAAATATCGTGCTCGTGATTAATTTTAAATGCTGTTCGAAGATTACTTTTACCAAATATGATTACCGCTGATTTAGAGGCATTTAAGAGCAAACAATGTTGAGTGGAATATTTTAAAAGTTCCCTTAAATCATAGTTTATTGCAGTTATAGCCTGAGTACTTTCATCTGGATCAAAACTTAAATACAATTGTGTATCGTCAGCATAATAGTGTGAAGAACACGAGGTTAATATTGAATTAAAATTACCAATATATACAGAAAATAATAATGGTCCTAAAATAGAACCTTGAGGGACACCACATTCAATCTCAAGAAAATTTGATAACTTACCACTATATTGCACCGCCTGAGTTCTATTACACAAAAACATCTTTATTAATTCTAATGCACCTTCTAAAAGTCCGACATACTTAAGAATTGATATGAGTAACTCATGGTTTATAGTATCAAATGCTTTTGTATAATCGAGCAGGATAAGACATGTTAATTTTTTGTTATCAGACGCCTTCAATATTTCATCAGTAATACTTAGTAAAGCAGTGCTACAACTATGAGAAGAACGAAATCCTGACTGGTTTGGAGGTATAATGTCAAAAGATAACAAATATTTCTGTAATTGCTTTTCTAGAACCTTTTCCAGTATTTTTGAAAATGTAGACAACAGGCTTACTGGTCGTAGGTTATTTAGACTTGTGGGACTTGAAGTTTTTGGAAGAGGCACTATTAATGCTTTTTTCCAATCAATGGGAAAAACTGAGTGAGTGATACAATAATTAATAATATGAGTAATATATGGTAGTAAAAATGGGAGACATAAATTTAAAGTAAAGATATTTATACCATCAAACCCATAAGCTTTGCTTTTAATATTGGAGATAATTATAAGGACATCAATTTCATTGACCATTTTAAAACTGAAAGTAGAATTGCTAATTTTTGTATTATTATAAAAGTTAAGAATATCTGGATCTGGACTCAGTTTCGGTATAGAATTTATAAAATGATTGTTTATTTGATCAACATGCGAAAGACTTAAGGGCAAACTGATAATTGGCTTTTTAGAAATATTTAATTGTTTTAGATTGTTCCAAAATAGTTTTTTATCTGGTTTAGCAAAAATTAAGTTAAAGTATGCCTTTTTTTCCTTTTTTATAGCAGACGAAACCATGTTACGTAGCCCTTTATATGATTCCCAGAGATTCTTTGTTTCATGGGTTTTGAAACTGGATAATGCCTTATCTCTATCATCCATTATGGACTTTATTGTAGGAGTTAACCAGGGAGCATAAGGCTTACTCACTCGAAAAGTTTTGATTGGTGCGTGTATATCTAAAAGAGCAGTTATATTTTCAGTAACAAATTGTACCTTACGATTAATATCTTCAATGTCAAATATGTTTCTCCAAGGAATAGCTTTAAGATCATAATCAAATTGAACAAGGTTGAGGTTTTTAAAACTTCTTTTGGTGACAAATCTAGGTTGCTGTTTCTTTGATTTAGTGTTGACATTGAATTGACATAATTCATGATCGGTAAAACCATGAACTGACTGTATTTCGATATTTGAAATTATTGTTTTATTCGAGCACAATATATAGTCAATAAGAGTAGAAGATTTATTTGATATTCTAGTAGGCAATTTAACTAGCTGATTTAGGCCTATACTGTCAAATAGTTCTTGGATTTGTGTTGATTCCACAGAGTCAAAATTAAGTAGGTCAACATTAAAATCTCCAACACATATAAGATTATTAACCGTAGGTAATATGTTTATTACTGAATTTTCAAAAGAATCTAAAAAATGTTGAAGATTGTTATTTGGAGGTCTATAAATAACGCCGATAGCTAATTTACCAGAAGAATTAGCTAGTTTTATCCACAGTTCTTCAGTATTATTTGATTTTAAGGAAATTTTTGTGAACTTTAATGAATTTCTAACATAAATTGCTACTCTTGTTGCCCTATCGGCTCTTATCACAGTAAAATCATTTATATTAATCAAGGAATTTGCAATGTCTCTACTTAACCACGTTTCAGTTAGGCAAAATACATCACAATTATTCGCAGAAATAATATTTTTTACTTCTTCAAAATGGGGCAGCAAGGACCTCACATTTAAATGGGCGCATTTGATATAATTCATTTTACAAAAAATTGTTATACCTATATCAACTTAAAGAAATAATTAAACAGAGTAAAAAAAATAAAAAGTACGAAGGCTAAATTTGTATTAAGATTTAAACAATAAATAAAAAATTTTGAGAAACAAAAAAAAAAGTTTAAACAATAGGTTTTATTTTTTTGCAGCAGGCCTTCCCCTATTTGGTTTTTTACTTTTGTTGTCGGTTTCTTCTTCGATGGAGGGGTTTTCTTTCCGTTTGCTATTTTTGCTATTTACTATTTTGGAATTCCCAGCTGAAACCTCAACTTCTTCTGCTTCACTTTCTTCCAACTCTTCACTTAAATTCTCTTTTTCCAAAAGTTCTTCATAAGTAACTATCTCACCATTAATAAAAAGATTATTATTTTTTATGTAAGCCTCACTATTTTCAGCCAAAGCTCGTTTTTTATATTTGTAGAGAAGTTTGTTTTTTTGATAGTCCTCCTGGGTATAATCTTGTGAGACAAAGATGTTGGTGCCTTTTAGTTTATTTGCAGCCTTGAGAATATTCAGCTTTAATTTGTAATGCGTTAGTTCAATTGCAATAGGACGACTTTTTTCAGTGACCTTTTTTCCAACACGATAAATATCTCTAAATTCTTCACTCACGCACTTTATATCTAATTTATTATTTACTAGGCTTAGAATAATATCCTCGTCGGGTTTGCGTTCCTCTTCTTTAACACCATAAATAAAAAGGTTGTACTTTTTCAGTGTTCGCTCTGTTGTAAGTAGTCTCTTTTTTAATATTAAATTTTCGGATTTTAAATTTGCGTTTTCTGTTTTAATATTTTCAATTTCTTTGGATATATCTGATTTAATAGACCTAATTTCATTAATTAATTCTTCTTTCAACGACTTATTTTGGTTTTGTACGTTTTGTAATAATTTAAAGATATCACTATTGGAGATCTCACTGTTACCCATTATATTTGTTTGTTAATAATCGTAAAATTTATAAAAATAGCAATAGCTCAGCGGTAACGACTCTGACAACGATTCAGGCGACCCGAGTTCAATCCCAGGGCGGCGACAAATAATTTTTATTTTTGATTGTCAGTTAAATATTATTTTTTGTCTTAAAATTTTTAGTTTTTGGCACTCACATGTATAAAATTGTTTATATTAAATTATCAAACTAAACTTTCACTTGTTATACATAGTTTTGCGAAAAAATTCAGCAATTTAAACGCATTTTTTCACTGCAATGTTTTTTTTTCTTATATTTATTATACTTATAAGGTATTTTATGTAAATGCTAATTAGTTAGTCTCATTTTTTTATTATTATCATGTATTATATTTTTTGTGACGAGTGTAAATACTTATTGTATGCAAACACGAATAAAGCATTATTATTATTATTATTATTAAAAGAATAACCTCTTCTGTTTCAAAATATTGAGCAGCCTCAACTATTGCTAAAAAAAAACAGACCAATACCACACATCTCCTTGAGAGCCAATTTTAGAAGAATAAAATAAAACTGTATGGAAACATATTTGTGGTTTATTTTATACCTTCAAAATTTGCTCTCGAGAAGATAGGTACGTAGTATTGACTTGACACCATCGATATGCTTTAAAGATACTTTCACTTCCTACTTACAACTATGATCAAATATCACTTCAGGCTCTACTTCATGGCATGTGACTTTTCTCAAACTATTTAAATTTGGACTAAATGTTGAAGAAGCACATTGGTTTCGTGTTTCAAGACCCAACTGTTTCGGAAGGTTAAGTGTTTTTTTGACTTTCTTCTGTTTTTCTTGGCTATGCATTAGTCCATAAATGCTTTCACATAAATTTTCTTTTTCTGTGTAAGCCACTTCTATTCCAGATCTAGGAAGAAAAAAATTACAATAATTGATAATTATTAACTACTATAGGTATACTTGAATAATTGATCGATCTTAAAACTATGCCTACTAAAAAATAGGGTAACAAAAACATAAACAAAACATTACTTACTTGTCTTTTAAATCTTTTGATTTCTTGAGCCATAGTTTTATTAATAATTCTAAATGGTCTTTAAGGGTTCTTATAGAAAAGTTTTTTTTTGTCACGGACAACATGTTGTCTCTCCACAGGACTGGATGCTCAATAGGATTATGCCCCAAAACTTCGCGTAAAAGGGAAATATCATCATGGTCGGTAAAACGTAATCGTTTTTTTCCAATTGAATCCATGATTCGTGTTTCATTAAAATTTCCACAACACTTATACAATTTTAAAGCTTACAAGCCATAAGCAAAGCGAATTTACAGATGACAATAAAATCTAAGGTTATGTTATGTTATGTTGCCAAATTTGATTAATCATCCCAACTTTTGTCTTTCTTTTTGCAATTTAGAAATATAAAAGTATAACAAACATAAATTAAAACCTATAAAAATATTGCTTTTCAATATACTCGTATAGCCTTTAATTTATTTAATTAATACTTAAATATAATCACACACAAATTAATCTCGGCAACCTTGTATGACACTTTATCCGTTATTAGGCGAACGTTAATGGCCCGCAACTAACGCACAACGCTATCAGTTAATAGCGGAATCGGTTATTTAAGCGTGTCTGCGCATGACCACAATAACCGATAACGTGATGCAAACGTTAAATAAGAGGCTTAAAAACTCCCTATTAAGTAATAAAGGACAAAAACCTTATTTACCTACCTAGTAAAACAGAGTCTTGGAATTCATTAGCCTTAAATCTTGCCCTTATCCTACTATTATTGGATATGGTAAGATCATGTGCTGATCCAAGCCATCTTTTAACAATATCTTGAATTGTAAGTTGTGAATCCCCTACAGCTTGAGTGTTTATAGAAAAATACCCCTTTCTGTTTCTAAACACCTTAGCGTCATCACCACCTAAAAGTTATCAAAAATTACCAATTTTGCAATAAAGTGGTGGATACTTTTTTTTTAAATAAACGAAGAGGGGTTCTTTACCTGGAGAGATTCTAATATGTTTTCCATCAACACAACCAAGCACCTTAGGAAACCTTAAAATATTGTAGTAGTCAGTTGAAATTCTCAACTTTTTCTGCCCATTTTGTGGCATTCTCATGTGATTTGGCCTGGTCAGACAAATTGCTTTAGTAACCCTTCTAAAGATCATTAAAACTGTTGATTGATGACAGCCAATAAAGTCAGCAATTGCTGTTTGATGGGTACCACCAGAATAGAGTCTTAAAGTTGCCATAGCTGGTTCATTGGTGTTAAACTATTATTTCTACCATAGAAAAAAAACTTTGTAAACACAAAGGTACTTATAATAACTATAAGCACACAAATCATTGTCATGCTCAATTTCATCTTCAATTTCATTAAGAAAGTCTAGAACGGTGTATTTAGCCAATCGAAATCGTCTAAAAAAAGAAAAATTGTCCAGAATATCTTGATCATCTTCTACAAATAGTTCTTCTTCTAAATCCATTATTTAATTATAGTTTTTACTATTACTACTATTACTAGTTTTTAAAATCTACTACAACAAAAGCACAACCCTAACCAAAAATTTGGTTAGAAAATAAGTTAATCCTGCGATTAAACCTACCTCGCCGGTGGACTAAAGGCTAGTTCATATTAGGCTAGTAATTTAGTAACTAAAATAAGTAGGAGTGACATAAAATTGTTCACATTAGACTAGTACAGTGAGTTAGTGCAGTTAGTTAGTAGCATAAATATTGTACCGAAATGAACAGGCTACAACGCAATAAACTAAACAGGATGATAAAGCTTGTTTTAATTGCTATTTTGGAGAAGATAGAAGAGGAAATTAGTGAGATGAAAGTAAAGAAGTTATGGATGCGAAAATGGATTAATAGAAGAGATGAACTAGGAGCTACCAATTCTTTAATTAAGGAAATAGCATTTCGCAACGTTAAGAATGACTGAAAGTTGTTTTAATTTTCTGTTAATGAAAACGCAGTTACGAATTCAACGCAAGGATACGAAATTAAGATGTGCAATTCCTGCAGAAACAAAATTACAGGCAGTTCTCTACTTTCTTGCCATCGGATGTAGTTTAAGGACCCTCACACATCTCTTTAGACTTGGAAAATTAACTATTTCTGAATTACTAATGAAAGTTTGCGATACTATCTATGAATCATTGAAGGAAGTCATCAAGGTAAGATTAAGTAAATAAATTATACATATACCTAATTTGAGAAACATATTTATTAATTTAAAAAAGTTAAAAAAAATTCATTTGCACATTTCATTGCTGCAGAAATTAGGTCACTGCTCTTGTATTGTCATAAAGGATGGTGATGTAATCGGTGTTTCTTGCAGGAACTGATCTTCTGTTTTTATAGTTGATGGTGGTGAAAACGGTGTTTCTTCGCGGTACAGCTCTTCATAATCATGGTTATCTTTACAATGTGTTGAATTGTTACTGTATAGGGAGATCAAATGTTAATGGTGTGGATTACCTGGTGTATCTGTGTTCTTCTGACGCATTTTGTAGGAGGATTCGTCGAATTCTTTGTATGTAAAGTTGAATATGTTCTTGAGCTTGAAGAGCTACTAATAAGGGCATACTTTTAAGTTGAAGAGCGACGTGTTTGCCGAACACATCAAACTCATTGTCTTCTGAAGAGTTAGCATTAGCATTCTCAGCTATTTCTTTTAGTTGTCCAACCATACTCGTAATCTGGGCGAGTTTCAGGTTCACGAAAATTGGAGTCCTGTGCAGATCTGCTTTCTTCAGTATCTTTATCAGTATCAACGTGTGCAATTTCTTCGCTAGACTGAAAATGAATTAGAATTTAGTTTTGTACTTATCAAATTTATTAATTATGTTTTTTAAGGTTCCTGCCACTACAGATTGAAAAACCATTGAGAATGGATTTCAAAAGGAATGGAACTTTCCAGGTTGCTGCGTAGCAATCGACGGCAAGCATATAGTTATTAAAGCTCCTCCTGAATCAGGAAGTTTATACTATAATTACAAAGAGTCAAACAGTATTGTCTTGATGGCAGTTTCTTTAGTTATATAGACATAGGATGTAATGAAAGGGTTTCTGATGGAGGCGTTTTTTGTAACTGCAGTTTGTATGAAGCTTTGGAAGGCGGTATAATACCCAAAGGCCATATCTTAGTTGGTGACAATGCATTTTCCCTCAAAAATTATCTGCTTAAGCCTTTTCCAGAAAATCAATTAACATTAAAGAAAAAAATTAAATTAAAAATCGGGCCCTCTCCCCCTCTTTTACGGTAACTTCAACTTATATTGGCCTTCAAAATTATAGATAGGAAATAGGATATAGGATACAGTGAGTTGAACTTAGTAGGCTTAATTTTTAACAGAGTTCCCTGTCCAATTCACGACCTCTTGCGCGCTTTAATTTTTGCAAATTCGTCTATAACTTCACTCAAATCCAAGTTTGATGCCGCCTTATTTTCTATTGCAATTAACGATAAATGTCGGAGGCGATCTTGTCCAATGCTGTTTCTTAAATAAATTTTTAATAATCTTCAGTTTACTGAAAAATCTTTCTGCTGCCGCGGAAGTAACAGGAATTGTATGAAACAGTAGCATTGCTGTATACACTTCCGTAAGGTCACATTCGAGCACGCCAAATTTCGTTACAATTTCTTTGCAAAGTTGCCGAATGGACCACGTCTCCGTCAATTGAGGAAGGACTAGATGGTAAACATTAAGAAATTGGAGCGAAAAAGTGGGTCCAATTATATCTGAATATTTCGTCTGAAACTGATCACATTTCGCGAGTAAAATCGTTTCATTCATGCTAAACAAATTTTTTAGAATCAAAAAGTCAAACCTTTTACAAACTGCACTCATACCAGAAAAACGCGCATCTAACTGATTGATTATTATGTCGAGTACATTGTTGAAAATGGTTACTCTGAAGACTTCTTCCTGATTTTGGAACAGAGCTGGGCCAAGTACAAGTAAAATGTACTTAAGTACCGAGTACAAAGTACTTTGTATAATTCCTAAAGAAGTACAAAGTACCAAGTACTATACAAATTTCAAAGTACTTTAAGTACAGTACTGCAAGTACAGTACTCAGTACTTTATAATTGTATTAACAAGACAAGACTCGCTGGTACCAAGACTTGGTAATAGTGAAGCTTTGGAAATACCAAAGTTTTGAAACGTAAACGTAAGTTAAGTTATAATTATGTGAAATAAATCATCTTAGAAATATACAAATTCTATTGTTCTTTTATTTTAATCAAATTCGCTTGAACAAATTGAGGTTGTCATTGTCACTGACAATTTATCTGGATGCCAAGCTTCGAAATCAAAATTTTGCGTACTATAATGAACCTCATTAAAGCACCCAAAACATTTAAATGGCGTGTTATAATGAAGTCATTATAAACGCAAAATAGATAAATATATAATATAAGTTATATATATAAGTTATATTATATAACCACTCAACCCAGATAGCAAAATGCATGCAGTGTAGGCAAGCGTGCGGATTGGTACATGCTCTGATCCAAACATTTTTTTTCTTTGACATTTATTATAGAATTTACTAATATAACTGATTTAGGGGTTTTAAATTTTTCTTTATTCGCATATTAATTAAATAAACAAATTGTTTGTTTATTTTTTCTTCCGATGTAGAGCTAAACCTTTAGCTGCTCATTTTATTTATTACTTTAGTATACTGACAGTCTGTAAATGACAGAATTTATTTTAATGACAGATGCCATGGTGTTTTCGCGGAAATAATGCATGTAGCATTATTTTCACTATAATAATGTTTTGATTAGCTAAAATATACACACATGACTGAAACTAAAAGTTTCTATTGGTTTTTAGAAACGTCAAAAAATAATCTAAACTAAACAATGTTCAAATAATATGCTCGAAAATTATTGTCGTCAACATGCAAAATCAAAATGAAATGCTCATTTTCCGCTCTCAACTCTCGGCGACAGCAAATTATAATAGGCCTTTGTCGGTGTACCCATATATATATATTAGGGTGATTCAAAATTTAAAAATGAACCCGCACTGGCCTAAATTATAAAGATTACATTAAAACTAAAAGATTAATACCAAAAAGTCCAAATTCGATGAATATTTAGAGGTCGCTCAAATCGATTTTCGTATTTTTGCACATTCGAGCCGCGAAATTATTACTGCGCAAAATAGTAAATAACTCCGTTAGTTTTTATTCGATATTATTAAAAATTTAAGGGTTACCTAGTTTTTTAATACCCTCTGAGACAGTGAATTGAACTTTACGGATAAAAAATTTTTTTCATGAAAAAAAAAATAATTTGTTATTAAAAACGTATCATCTTATAAAATAAGCAACAATTGGAATCGCACTATGATGGTACCGTAAATAAACTAAGAAAATAACACTTAAATTATTTAGCATACATAAAACCTGCCGAAAGAAATAATTTATTTGATTTATATAAAACATAACCTAATAATAATTAAGTTATTCAAATTTTTCCCATTTTCATACGATTTTATAAATAATTTATATCCGTTTTATTAATTATGACGTATTTTTATAAAATTTCTTTATTTTTGATACCATATTTAATTAATTACACTAAGTAGTTATTAATTTATGTCCTTTTTATAATTAAAATAAAAAAAATCCACTGCTCTACATCTTTTTCTTTGCAATGATTGTTTCTAATGTTAATTTTTTCAACCATTTTTCTTTTGTTTCAGTAGGTACTCTTTTATCAAAAAATGCCAAACAAATTAGCTCTTCTATTTGCAAATCTATATTTTTGTAAACATGAAGTTCATGAAGTGTTTTCAAATCATTTTTGGGCGCGCAAGTTGCATTTGGAGCTTGAAACCAGGCAAATATGAAAACAAAATAATAAAAATAAAAATTCTACGCAATGACTTATTTTCATTGTTAGTAAGTTTAAATTGATCCCGAAATAAGAAAATATAAATAAAGAGTATATAGCTTTGTTCATCCATCGGGCATGCTATCTATCTCCACCATGGTGTCAATAATTTTAATAAAATTTAAATTTCTGCTTAAGCCATATCAATGCAGTAAATAATTTTGTAGTTAACGTTATTTTATTTTAGTTGTAAAAAGGACCTAATTTAATAACCTAGTTTAATTAATTAAATATGGTATCAAAAATAAAGAAATATTATAAAAATACGTCATAATTAATAAAACGGATATAAATTATTTATAAAATCGTTTGAAAATGGGAAAAATCTAAATTACTTAATTATTTTTAGGTTATATTTTATATAAATCAAATAAAATATTTCTTTCGGCAGGTTTTCTGTATACTAAATAATTTAAGTGTTATTTTCTTAGTTTTTTTACGGTAGCATCATAGTGCGATTCCAATTGTTGCTTATTTTATAAGAATCATGGTATTTTTAATAAAAATAAAACATTAATTCTTTATTATTTTTTTTCTCGAAAACGGTTAATTTTATCGACAATAAACAAGAGTACCTTTTCTTTAGCTTAATGTTCAAGGTATCCAAATTTATTTTTTTAACTCCCTATCATACAGGGTGTTAAAAATGTAAGCATTAAAATATACAACCTAGTCCGCCCCTGGTAAACTAAACAAGCTAATTATGTTTTAAGGGCAGTATTTTAAGAGGTCCTTACTACTGTTTATCATATTAAATTTTTATTAAATTATATTAAGTTGTTTAAAAGTTATTCAAGAAAAACTGATTTCCAGTGGCGTCCTTTAGGAGGCCGTATCTCCGTAGGGAGGGCCGCTAGGAAAAAAATTTATGGGAACTTGTCATCTTATTTTTTAATGTTCTATCTGAATCCGAGAGATTTCCCACATTTTCCGGGACACCCTGTATATAGGTAGGTATATATATATATATTTATTTATAAATTTTATTAAGTATTTTGATTGACCATACGAGCATACTCATAAACAACACGTATTGTGGGCCACAATTTGTGGCGCGGAAAACCTTTTACGTACTTAGCTGGAGGCGCAGACAGGTCTCAACTTAATAATAATAATAATAATAATAAACTTTATTGCAAAAAAAAAAAATATACACAACGCTTGTATACATTTACATTCACAAAGGGTCTAGGTTCAACAAAAGTTGTTCTTCCACCTAACTTGTATAAAGTACTTGTAAAAATGTACTTATATTTTAGTCCCAAGTACTGAGTACTCTTAGCAGAATGTTACAAGTACAAGTACCAAGTACATATACAAAGAAGTACTTAAGTATCAAGTACAAAGTACTCTTAAATGTACTCTAAGTACTTTTTCAAGTACTTGTACTTAAGTACCGCCCAGCTCTGTTTTGGAATCGGTGATCAGAAGCCAATTCATCGAAATGCTTTTTCGTTTTTCTTCGTCGCTTTTCTGGAAAGGCAGGATCGATATCGTATTTTTTCGCGGTTTGGGTGGCCTTGGATTTGAAGGATTTTAAGTCATTCCTGTACTCTTTTAATTTATTCGTTGTTTCGTCCAAAGCCTTACTCGCCTCGTCCAAAACGATATCACGTTTTTGCAAAATTTTGGAAACATAATTGATCCTGTTTAACACGCTGTGCATAAATTCGCAAAGGAATACAAACTCAAAATTCAGCATTTTTGATTTTATAACCTCTGCTTCACTACGTTCGTCTTTACCTGAACTGAATGCTTTAATAATATCGAAAAAAAGAACTTGCTATCGAGTTAACCCTGCTCGACCATCTTGTTGGATTCAATTTTTTCAAAGTGATTTCTGATTCGCCAGTGAATGTTGATAAGAGGTCCCAGCGCTTAATGCTGTTTCCAAAGAAGTTGAACAAGTCTTGTATTATTGCAAAGAACTTCTGAATTTCGATAGAACCTCGAACAGCATCATTTACTACCAAATTTAAATTATGACTGGCGCAATGTACGTACTCTGCGTTTGGCTGAATATCTTTAATTTGTTTTTGTACGCCATTATACGCACCACTCATTACACTGGTCCCATCATAGCCTTGCCCGACACACTTTTTAAAATCAAGAGAACAACGTGGTTACTTGATTCACCAAATCCGCAGCGCTGTGTTTAGTGACTGCGTGGAAACCGAGAAATACCTCTCTTACCTCAATATCGATTGGTTGTCCATTTTCCGATCTGACTATAACTGCATATCTTACGATATGTCCTGCGAGGTATCCATGATGATGGTGAAAAACGGTGATGCCCTGATCTGATCCAATAGATGATGTTCAAGTTTGGTGCCCAAACACTCGATCATTTCATTTTGAATCGTTGCGCTCAGGTACCTTGTTGATCCTAAAAACATAAGGGATATTAGAAAACATTAGATTATGATAACATAAATTATAAACGCAGTAAACGAAATCATTTCTTACCTTTAGGCATATCCACAACTTGACGCAAGACGTGATCGTATCTAGCAACGAGTTGTACGATTGAGAGAAAATTTCCGTGGTTTCCTTCCTCACTCAGATCCTTTCGATGTGTTCTCAAAGCCAAAGAACAAGAGTAATTATGATGTCGAATAATCTACGAAGAACTTTTCTCCAAAATAATGCTTCTTTGCGAATTTTATCTTCAAGTTCTTTGTCAATGGTAGAACTTTTTTGCCACGCTTTATATACAGCACACGCCTTCGTGTGTGCTTTCGAGGAACCATGTTGCTTAACTCTATCTGATAAATGCCTCCAGTCGCGAATGCCCGTGCACCATACATTCTTTTGCGAAGCAAACAACCAGCAGGGTTGGCAGTAGGCAGCATCCAGCATTTTTGAGTAGCATATCCAAAAACGATCAACTGGACCATATTTTGACGTAGAAACGTAATACGTTTCTGAAAAGCTCCTGTGGTCTTGGTGGGGCTCCTTCGGAAAAGGTCCCGAAGGTTTCAATGGTCCCTTGTCAAGAATCAGCCGTTTTTCGGTGTCGTTCAATTTCTTGTTTATGAACTTTCCCAAGTCAGTTGAAATTTCAAGAACTTCCGAAGATGTAGAAATGGATGATTCCTCTACTGTTGGTTGCACGGAAACGTCGACATAGTCATTTTCGGCGGTGGCATTGATGAGAATTGTTGAATCGTGATATTCCTGATCTTCTAGAGTCATTTCATTTACTGACACAGCCGTGTCCACGCTATCAGTAAATAAACACTTGTCACTTTTGGCCGATATTTCGGCTGCTGAAGAAACTGTAGCAGAAAGCGTTTTCGTAAAAAAAGCTGTCTAGCTTGGGCAATTTTTTTTCACATGCTTCTCTTTCCTGACGTTGTTTCCGCTTTGAAGCTCCGCTACGTTCCTTTTGTCTTTCCATAATTCACAATTTTCAACTATCGAAATGTTATAAATTCGGAATACTTACCGGGATTTTCGTACTCGTAAATTGTTTGTCAATGTAGATTAAAGATTACGCAGCACGTTCAACAAAAAAAAAACACAGAATGATAGAACAGCGTAGCTCATCATTTGGCAATTTAAACGTGAGTTCAGAAAAACGTTCTCTATTTTTCGTTTTCGATCAAGTTGAGAGTTATTATAGATTATATCGTTGCCGTTGTGCTGGAACCTGTATCATACATGTTTTATCATCGGACAATTTTTTATCGAAAATGAGTTCTAGCAAAATATGGTGCCAGATGGATGAATGTACCTACGGAATAGAAATAACAGGATTAGTGGTAATAGGTAATACTCGATGAAATAAGGCTGGTAGTAGGGAATTAGGAATTACAACAGTCAGAGACACACCTAGCGTCAACTATCACAGTGCATCCCAGAAAGTTGAAAATATCGCAATGAATAATATAAATGAGAACAGATGCAAAGAGATGTAATAGATGAGAATAAAGAAGAGCGGATGAAAACTTAAAAAAGAGTTTACCGGTGGAATTGTCGAATTGATCTCACGACCTTGACGGCACGTGAGCTAATGAGCTTCAGAGCTTATCGCTGATGCAATGGGCGTACTCAACCAAACTACCAAATAGCAATAACAAATAGCACATGCTTATCGAGGACGCTTGGCGAATGTGTTGAAAGTCTCAAATCTGGAATTCTCTGATTGTTGATGTTCACTTAAAATCATTAAATAAAAAAAAAATTCTTGTGAGCAGGGTCGAGTTTTTCTAGCTTCAGGAGCTGGCGAATTGGCTGACCCGCTCTTTTCAAAGCTTAGGCCCCCTGAGCTCCGGGGCCCTGGTGCACTGCACCAGCTGGCCCTATGATAGCTACGCCACTGGTTGTTCTAATGTGTCAACTTCGCTTTGGTTCACTAAACTGTTCATGTAGCCCCAGAGAAATCACAATAACAACCGAACTATCAGTAATCAATTATAACAAAGTACTAAATAAGTTTACAAGTTTGCTTGATATTACATAATACACTGTGCGCATACCTGTTTATTTTTTGCTTGGATGAATAATATCATTGTTTTTAGAGGTAAAAACAATGATGATATATAGGATAGGTCAGTGACATCCAGTGGCTCCCTGGTTTTGTCAAAAAAATTTCATATTTTTTTTATTAAAAAACAGAAGCTCTAATGCAAAAATGATAGAGGAAAAACTTTCTTGTTTTGGCGTGTACTATCATGCCCCCAAAAGATGACAATTTATTAGGTGACACCCTGTATATTGTGAAGCTAGCTTTATTAAAAAATAAAAATATAGCGCACTTACCTCGGCAACTCTTATTTGTCGACGCTAGGTCGGGATTCAGGTACGAACGAAAATCTTGAGTTAAGGGCGCCAGTTGCGACAAACTCAACAGAAAGTCTGCATAAAAATTTTACAATAACACTACTTGCAATTTTATTACCATTTAATTAATCAAATTTAACAAAAACTTGAACATTTGTCGCACTGTGCGATTGCCCACCGCGCCTGCGTCAGAAGCAACAACGCATGACTGGGAATTTTTCAGTGAGAATTGACAGAAACAAAACAACTTAAATAAACGTTTGTTTTACATTTTAAATATAGTTTTTAACTAAATTTAGGGCCTTAACTATTGTAAACTTAATCAAATGTCCGTTACACTAGGTAAGTACTTATTACTACCAACATTAGGTTACAAAATATACATTTTTAACAAATTTTAGGCTACTGGCTTACTTGAGGGTAGTTTCTAGCTGAAACCTTACAAATCCGGCAATATGGAAACGTTGGGATGTGAGTCCACCACAGGCTGGTTACAATATTTCACTACACAATCAGGTATTGTCGAGAAGTCCTTGCTATCCAATCAACTTATTTTATTTTTATTTTGTAAATAATTTGCAGCCTTTGTCACCCCCTATTTAGGGGTGGTAATACTTATAGCAACTCTCACCCGACAGGCTTCGAGCTCGCGGCTAAGTCCCAGTGAAGATGGGAATGGGTTCTAAATAACCAAAAAAATATATATATAAAAACCTAGAAAGGGCGCCAAGTATTTTTAAATAATAGTAAAAGCCCAGATAACGAAATACTAAAATTACCGGGGAAGTTAAGGTAAACCAATCACTATAGGTGCGCCACTGTCTGAAAAAGGTATAAAGTCACGGTTTGAACGGAAAAGCGAAATCAGTCCCAATCCAATTTAATTTACATTAATACAAAACAACACATGAATAATTTAAAATTATTAAATTATTATTTCAATTCTTATTACATAATAAGGTACGTTATTTACCTCAGTACATGAAACATATAACTCCTCAGGACTATAACCGCAGTGATCACCTTGGCGCACAATATATATATGGATAATTGACTAGAATTGGACAAAAGGTCCCTAGCCCTATAACGGCTTTAAATTCTTTCCTGAAAGGGGTGTCTCGTGATATTGTCAATTCTATTTGAATTGATATGAAGTAACTGAATAATTCACTAAACTTGGACAAAAGGTCCCTAGCCCTATAACGGCTTTAAATTCTTCCCTGAAGGGGTGTCTCAAGATATTGTCAGTTCTATTTGAATTGATATGCAAGGTGATTAAAGCCCAGTTAGGGTAAAACAAAGAAATAACAATATCTTGCAACGCAAGTTCATAAATTTTATAAATAATATAAATTAGCAAGGACTTAGCTTGTTCCATAAACCAAGGATAGGGGGTCGAGTTATCCTGGAATGTCCAATCAGGGTTTACTGTCCAAGCCGGGGTTAATGTCCAATCAGGGTTTACTATCCATTCGGGATAGGTTTGTCACTCGGTGCGGGAAGGTTTCGGTCACGATCAGGGTTAACGTCACATCCAGTAATTCGAAATAGTCAAATCTCTCAGCAGGTGCACTTAACGACAAAATTACACCACGTAAAGAGTCTAAATAAGGAAGCAGTAAACCAACCAGGAAAAACCCTAAAATAACGATGGCGCATTACTCATCTGGTAAAAATTAACATCATAAAAGGTACTTACGCCTAGTTGAAGGAACAAACCCAAGTTATGGGAACAATTCGTATTTACGGCCACTTCAACGCTGTTGTGTGCGGTTCCAAAGACAATTTCAAGTGTGTGCTTATAATCCGGTAAATACCGTAAGTGTTGCAGACCCAAAAATATCACCAATATTCCACTCAATGGCCACAACACAATTTATAAAAGGTAACTTCTGATTAATAATCCCACTTTAGTCAGCGGATGGTTGAAATAAATACCAATATATCAGAAAACCTTGCACACACATCCAATTAGCACGACAGACCAAAGCGAAAAATGGCCACAGCACCTCTTCCGGGATAATTCCGGAAATATTCCAATTAACCAATCAATCACCCACTTAGGCCCATAAAAACTTTGAATTTTCGCGTCAAACGACAAACTCCCCAAAATCCCTGTAAGAAATTGTTGGCAACATTGACATTGTGGTAATTTTCGATCCGGGCGGTTGGCGACTTGTCCAGCTGTCATGGCGTCAATAGTAAACAAATTTTATCAGCCAAACATGTTCAAAACGGAGTTCGATTTTGTCTTTCGTGTGTAGTGCATCGCATTCGCAGCTCTGGGCCATCGCTCGATGAAAAAGTATGAAACATAGCTGACTTTGACCCAAGGAAGATTAACAAATAGTAATAATAATAATAATATTTATTTATTTTATAAAACATCTACATAGTATAAGGAAAGATACAAAGAAATATAATAAAAAACGACAAGTTCAAAAATCAATATAAAGTTACTTAAAATTATCTATTATATTGTATAAAATCATTTACTGTGTAAGGCTCCAGGTTTATTAGAAAGTGAAAAATTTTTTTTTAAATTTATTTCTATTATTTAAAATTTTTATATCTCTAGGCAGTTCATTATAATATTTAATACATTTATACAGCACACTATTTTCAGTTAACGTTTTCTTATGGCGAGGGTAGTTATAATCTACCGTTCTTGTATCAAAGTTATGATTTGGTTTATAATTTAAGAATAAATGTTTATTGTCCCACCAGAACATAAGGCATTAGTATATGTGTAAGGCGCTGGCAGTGAGAAAGTTATGTTCTCGAAACAGACCCCTGCATGACTGTTTAAAAGTTTTTTTGAACAATACACGTATTACTCTCTTCTGCATGACAAAAATTTTTTCAAGGCCAGATACATTTGAACCCCAGAAGATTATTCCATATCTCATTATAGATATAAAATTTGCGTGGTAGATTATTTTCAATGCCTCCTGGTTCATATATTTTGAAAACACTCTTATGCAATGCCTTACAGATCCCAGTCTGTTTGTCAGATATTCTATATGTTGGTTCCATGACAGATTTTCATCAATGTATATTCCTAAAAATTTTGAATTTGACTTATATTGAATTATTTGTTTATTTAGTTTTAAGTCTTTGGGCGTTTCAAGAGACCAGTGGTTCGATTTAAAAAGTATTATATTGGTTTTTTCTGCATTAAGAATGAGATTGTTTTCAGTGATCCATTTTTGAACCATTGAAAACAATTTACCACTTTTTGCTAATAATTCTGGGTAATATCTATCAAATGTCAGAAGGTTTGTATCGTCTGCGTAGTTTGTCATGCAGAAGTCAGTTCCTTTTGTAATGCTTGTCAAGTCATTTATATATATAACGAATAACACAGGACCAATAATACTGCCCTGTGGAACTCCTAGTTTTGTTTGTAAAGTATCTGATTTATATGACCCACCATCCTTTTTTATTTCCACTAACTGTATTCTTTTTCTAAAATATTATTTAAACCAATCCAAGGTTTTGCCTCTTATTCCATATCTTTCTAATTTTTTTATTAGATTATTGGAATCTAAGCAATCATAGGCCTTGGATAGATCCAAAAACATACCCAGTCCAAGATTATTTGTTTCAATTGCG